AACAAGTTTTTAGCGAATTTTGAACAGAATAATACTAGAAATGGCACAGTAAGTATTTTTTTGTTTTTAGGAAAGATTTCTATGAAATTTTATTTTTTTCTATTAGAATTTTTAAATAAATAATAATTCAATAGAGTAAATGGATTGCTTTCTTTTAGTTTTGATATGAAAAATAATTTTGAATACAATATTAAATCTATATGTTACAGGTTACCGAAGAAGAATTTATGAATTATTATAGCGCTATCAGCGCAAGCATCGATCATGATGCCTATTTTGATCTAATGATGCGAAATGCTTACAAACTCTGAATCTTGTAACAAGATATTTTTCCAATTTAATTTTCACTACTTTTAAACTTATAGCTTTTGCGATCAATGTCTATTTTTAAAGCATTCATGCAACTGATAGTGACTAATAAAAAATTTATAGATAGCTCTAGATAGTTTACGGAAGTTGGCAATTTAGTTTACGTAATAATTCATGATCACTAGTTTTCTCTAAAGAAATTTTATCTAATTAATCGATGAATTGTATTAATGTATTAATATATAAAGGAAATATCAAGAAGATAATATTCCTATAAAAATATATATATGTATCTTTTTCTTCATGTGTTTCGCTACATATTTCTTAATTTGATCCAAAAACGTTTCCTATGATTCTTAATTTTTGTATAAAAATTTAATTGATATTAATAAGCATTATAGTAGCAAATATATTGAAAAATTTGTATGCATGCGTTTTGCACTTATAATTCAGATATACAAATTTTCTACAATTTTCGGTTTAATTTAAAATTTAATTTAAAACTCTACTAAATATTGATATGTGTATATGGTGATTTATAAAATGTGTGTATAGCTTGTAAGAACGGAAGCTTGGTTATAGGGTCCAACACAATGAAATGATATATATTAGACTGAATTGAATTTGCGTCATGTCAATTATTTATATATCCATAAAAAATAGAGTTTTTATCTTTTCATTTCAGAGTGATAAATATTGAGTACTTATTATTTAATTAGAAAAAAATACATAATATTCACTTTGTAAAAATAGGAATTGATGGGAATAACTCTAGCAGCCAAGCATGCAAAAAATGCGTCAAACGTGTTATTGTATTCAAATATTAAAGTAAATAGTTTCATTATTGTATAATTTAATTTCACCTATTTAATTTTTAGAACGTAACTTTTTTACATTTTGATTTTAAAATATTAAAAATTTTTAATTTCAATCTTTTTATTATAATTAAATATATTTTGAGAAAATGATAAAAGCTGAATATTACCTAATTCTATTTAAGAATCCTTATAAAAAGTTTCGTTCTTACATTATGAGTTTCTTCGGTTTCTTGTATATTTATAATATCCATTTAGTATCGATCTTTTTTAATATATTTTAATTAAAGAAACATTTTTTTCTTGATAAAAGTTCTATTTTGATGTTCATTTTGATGTTTTATTTTCTTAATAAAAGTTCTACTTTGATATTCTGTTTTGATGTTTCATTTTCTATTTTGATGTTCAATAGATATCTAATAGAATAATAATATTTGATAATATTAATTATTTATCAAATTTTTTTACAATAAGGATATATAATTAAATTATTAACTTTGATATAATAGTAATTGTACTATTTTGTAAAGTTATCGTTATTTTCATAAAATGCAAAAAGCGTTAAAATTGCAATACAATAATATTAATTATTATTTATCTAGATATATAAATTATTATTTATTTATTTTAATTTTAAATTTTTTATTTTTTCTAATGAAACTATATTAAAGGAAAAAAAATTTGCATCGGCCGGGAATCGAACCCGGGCCGCCCGCGTGGCAGGCGAGCATTCTACCA